TGTCTCAGGTAACAGGCCACTATTGTTGGTGTCATATCCAATCGATTCGGAGCTGCTTATTCTGTTTCCTCTAACTTCCAGTGTGAACACTTAACGTTCGGTACAAGTATGTACACTTTCTTTCTTTCGTTAAAATCTAACACTGAAAAGAGACCATCTCTCGGTCTGACTATCCTACTAAGCTCAACTTTTCAAATAGAAATATGGCAGATGCTTCAGGTTATGTTACCTTTTTCGCAATAGTTTCCAGTCCACGCGGATGAGTTGCAGGCACAAGTGTAGTTAACGTGACGATTCACACACTTCGCATTGTTTTTACATTGGTGTTTGATACAGAAGTCTGCAACTAAAATACAAGGAAAGATAAAGTTTTGTTACCTCGTCTTGATTTTTTTGCCATGTAATATCTGTCTTTGTCTTTGACAAAGTCCTCGGGTCTGGCCTCCTTGGTCCGGTTATTTAACTCGCATATTGCAACAAACATGACGACGTTGTAGCTTTGACATCTAACATCAGCGAGGCAAGCCTCCCGGCATTCCAGCGTACCTGGTTGAAACTTGAAGGTTTTAAACGTGTAGCCCTTGAGCATCATTTGGTAAATGGAGTAAAGGTCGCTGTCGGCTCCACACTGTTGGCTGGCGATGTTATGCAACACTTGAGACAGCAGAAACAGCACAATGAAGAATGAGGTCTGTTTACCAGCCATTTCCAGCATTTCAGTTTTGTGAAATCTGAATAAACAAGATCAACAGTTTCAATGACAAGTATTGAAGATGTGGGTTGAGCCGTAAGTATATTTATGGAAAGGAGGGGGAAGGCTAACGAAGTTTATAAAGCAGGAGAAAATGTTGAGCGACAAAACTATGAAGTACATCTAGAAACCCAGAAAACTTATCGCAGCGAGTCTTTCAAGCCTCGTGTAATCCTCAAAACTTACCGAGCTCGAGATCGGTTCTGTAAATTACGGACCGAGTTCAGTTTTTTCTGTTCGGATTTATGGCGCGAAGCGCGTTGCCAATAAATCCAAGTTAAAAACAAGGTTCCATTGCTTCAAGTACAGACCGAGAATATGAGGTTAGTAAGATATTTAGGAGCTTGAGAATCCGACCCACAACATTGTCTCATTAAAGAGCACATGTGAGCTGAAAAGGTTTTCAATTAAGGAGCAAAAAAGGATACAAAAGTGCATAGTAGGTAAGCCGAATTTCGAAAAGATGTTATGACTGGTTCAAAACTCTTTTCCTTTCAAAAATTAAAGTATTTGAAAATGAATTTCCAAAATGCTTGGTAATTTTTGTGGCAACACAAAGAGTGACGTAAACATAATAATCTTTATTTAGCAATAATTTCCATAAAATCCCCTACAATACAAAATATTAACAGCGTAAAAACCGATCTAAAATAACTCACTTTCGGCTCACATCTACTCCTTTTTTTTTATGTCAAAGTGTCTGGAAAACTATAAATAACGGAGTCAAATCTGAACAGACTCAAAGTCTAATAATCTGATAAGTAAAAGCATATCTAAAACTATACAGAAAAGAGAAAGGTGAATGGCAAATCTAGAACCCTATATACAAGGCTGCTAAAAAAGCATTAAATAATGTCAATGGCTCCCTCGGCAGCTGCGATTTCAACGTCACAATTATTATAGTCATACGCAGCGCGGCGCTTCACCCGCGATCCTCGAAGGCAAACTAAGGCCGACCGAAGGAGGGCAAAGGATGTCTTTGCTCGGATCCAGGAAATTGTTTGCGAGCATCATTCCCCTTTCTTGGCGGCTATTAGCTCGGCCAATCGGCTGTGGTATCTTATGCATTCCATCCCCATCCCTCCCGTAGTTGTAAATACAGGCGGGGTGAACGAGCCATGCTCAACATCCAACACTCTCCTTGTGTACAGCCTCTTCTTGTCGTTTTTATGGACGCGATAAGTCTGCTGAGGTTCCTGGTCCTTGTAAGACTCGGTATTAGGGTGGCAAAGCCTCACATCGAAGAATGCCGAGCTCTGGGGATCCCAGAAGCCACGCGCCCGAACGTCCAATTTTGCGTCTTGTGCTCTATTAGACCCTCTGCCGAGTTGTTCTTCATTGATGTCTTGGAGAACCGGCTCGACCTCGACATCGGTACACACTATACTCAAAAGGTCGGCCTCGAAGTCTCTCAACTCATTATGCCGTCGGATAACAAAGCCCCCTCGTTTGCAAATCATTGCGTGGTCTACTGTGAGTGATGCAAATGTGGTTTCAGGTCCGGAGTCAAAATGTTCAGTAATTTTTGTGGCAACCCAGAGTCATGTAAATGTAGTTTTTTCGCAGCATCGATATCAGGATTTTAAACTTCAACTATGGAGAGGTACATGGAGCTGAAGTTTCACCGCCATAGATATTCTCGGTTGCAAGTTTAAGGACCACAAAAAAAAAATTATAATAAAATAAACTTTGGGACATAAAACTCGTACACATACCTGGTTAAGAGTAGTAGTTGTTTCTCCGTTTAACTGACTTCCAGTGCAGTTCTGTGGAAGTGTGAATAACTCTTTGCTTGGTGTACTTTGCCAACCAATAGGCGGATTCATGCTGACGTCATTGTTTACATTTTTGCTCATTTGCATACGGCTTTGCGTAAAGAAGGAAGCATGTTAGATACGAATTGACTTCAGGCAGCTAAAGAGCTAGAAAACCTTAGTACATGGTGAGATTTTTAGCTCTTTGGGTGTAATATTCAAGGAGAAATAGTCCATCAAAAACTGTAAAATTTCTGGGTGGCAAAAGCGCTAATGAGCTCATACATTCGATGTAAAATTTTGAGTTTTTAAACCCGTGTTGCACAAAAAGTATTGAATACATCGGGCTCGTATTCATTGGCCGAGTTAATCGTACTTTGACCTTTCGAAATTCAAAACTGATTTATTTTTAGCTCCATCAGAAACTGAATTGCTTATGCTAATGAGGCAAATATTGCAAACAAGGATTCCCCTATAACTGCAGAATGGCAAAATGATTGCGACCACAAGTTTCATAATTAATCAGGAGAAGCTCCGGGAACGCTATTATTAAGGGGTTGGTTTTTTTCAAAAGAGTAGAATGGTACAGAAAACCCTCCTACAGTTATAAAGAACTTTTTCCTAACTGCGATGAAAATAATGCGACAGGAACATCTATCAAACTTAGTAGTTAACTGTATTTATTCATATCATGCCAATCTATTGGCATCAGTATGCTAACTTATATTTTAATTATCGTCCTGCGGAAATGATTTGGGAATGATAATTTTGATAATATCCACACATGCTGTTCGATTTCGTAATATTTCTGAAGGAAACACGAATCTATTGTATGAGAATCCCGCCTCGCAGATAATAACCAGAGTAGTTTCTCAGAAACAGTTTTCTGTTTAGATTAAGTCTAAACTTTTAAATTGCTCAAGGCACAAAACAAACATGATGAAGAAGCTTTTTTTTTCCGTGAAGCACAAAACAACAAAAAACTGAAGGTTAAAAGGTTCCCTTTAGGGAGTATGAATTCTGGATAAGGAGCTAATTGTTTGATAATGTAGAGAGAAAAACTATTGTTAAACCTATGAATAAAAATTTTGTAAGTTTTTTTGTTTCGTTTTGTTTGTTTGTTTTTGTGGGTGGCGATCGTAAGCTTTGTGACTTTGAATTTCATTATTTAGGGTATGTTGAGTTGCAGCTGCTGTTAACCCAATACAGCTGTTCTTAGAGCTCGGTAAGCTATAGTAAGAGTTGATTCTATTCTCGATCAATGTATGTGGAAATATGCTACAAAATTTAGGATTGTAATTATAATTTCTGTTCCTGTTTCGACACAGAGGTACTCGGTTCGGTGGAAGTCGGGTTGCATGCATTCTGTAACAACTAAATTTGGTAAATAGACCATTTTACAGTTGTGTACTTGGTTGCCAAGCCTTTGATTTGAAGTGAGGCTGAGGGTGACATTGTTGTGACAGAGACCAGTATCTAGTTAGCATGATAACAAAGAAATTTGCATTTGAAAAGCAGCAACATCTGTATCAAAACAAGGTCACCCTTAGCCTCCAAGCCCACAACTGTAAAAAGGACTATTGGCGTTTGACAACTAAAAGTTACGGCCGGACCAACACTCAGGGTCTTAAAATAACTGAGAAGACTGTGCTACCTTTCTATGATATCAAGAAATGCATAGATATTCTAGTCTTCTCGGATAAGGACGAACAAACCGTAGGTCCCATCTCCTGCAGGGTTAGGTAGGCGACGTTAATTTCCCACGAACGAGATTACTGTGTGGTGGATGTCCTCCCCTGGGATGGGATGGGCTATATTGCCCTTTGCAGGTTAAAACATATGTAGATAGAACCTTCTATCGAGAAATACCAAGCGAAACCTGCTATATCAAACGAGCTATCTCATAATATAATTTGAATATATCAACAAAGTTGAAATGGTAAATTGGCCACCGTTACGATTATAAAAGCTGACGTTTCGA